CCCCAAAACCCCAAAACCCCAAAACCCCTTTAATTATAATAATTGTTGAACCTAAAAATATTATCCTATGGAGACAACTAAATCAAAGGTAGATTCCCTTCAGCTCCTTGAAACTATACAAACTCCGAATAACAACAAGAGCCCGAAGATGCGTCTTCCTCGAATGTATCAGTCTAGAGGGTAAGGAAGCTTCTGAATTTATCATAAAGACTATAGTAACATTAATATAGAAGAGCATCTAGACAATCTTCTCATCCAGGCCAAGCCGCTCAAGACTCTGACTTTACCAGCAAAACATTCAGCTCTCAAACCAGCTTCTACAACAAAGCCAGTCATTCTCCCAACGGAGGTAAGTGCCAACAATGCAAGGGGGTGTTGCAGAGTCCATTATATGTTGTAGGTGCAACTCCGGTGACACCCAAAGCGCCCCACTCGAACACAAACATCTTAAAGTAAGCAGGCTCAGCAGCTGCTTCAGGACTTGGCTGAAGACATTGATGCATTCCACTGCGTTGACTGACTCCACAAGGTAAATATTTATACCATTGTAGTTCGCCCGTGCCTGAATGCACAAGATCAAGCAGATCGGCGGGCTCAGCCTTGAACAACTCAATATCAAAGAAATCGGAAGCAGGCTCAGCAAACACAAGTCGAAAGCTAGTTCCCCAAAAGTAAAGTTCTTGAAACAATTTTTGTGAAACCCGAAAGCAAGAGAAGAGTTCTACAACACTAAATCTAAGAACTTCGCAGTGATTGCTCCTTTGTTGTATAAAGAAATGGTTGAACAATATTACAATTCACAGACTTCTGTGGGTGGAATGAAATTTGTAAAAAGAAACTTAGACCCTCAAAAGCCTTTTGTGCCAATAAAGAAACTTGAAAAAGACCAAAAAAGAGGAAAAAGGTATGCTTCTTGACTATTTCTAGCCTGAACATTTAGCTCCAAAACCTAGTTCTAAACTAGCCCCTAAAATCCGTGAGCAGCAGGGTCAAAACAAGTCAGTTTCCTTAACCACACGTACTTCTCTTCTAACCATTAGGCGTGCCTACAAACCACACCAATTTTCAGCCCCAAAAACTCATATCTAAGGTACTACTCCTGGACCCAAATTCAGAATAAATCCCTGATGTGATTCCAAATTTCTTCTAAAATAGTTCTAATTTTCCAAATTCCCTTAAAACTTAACAATCTGATACCTTAAAGTCCAGCTGAGGGTATTAAGCTGACTTCTCATCCGTTGAAGTTTATGAAGGCGGGGTAATTTAGCACATGAATCGTGATTAGATAACCCTTTGGCGCTTTAGAGAGACCTCCAGTACTATAAGCTTACAGGGACAACTGACTTAGAAGTAGTTGAATACGGTAATTTTTAGATTATTTATATAGGAAATAACTCTATTCGGAGAAGGAAATATAACCTTAATGATAGATCAAGAGGGGATTCGGAAGAAACTCCTAAAAAGAAGACCTCAAAACGGAAGCTGAGAGCCTCAAGTAATAACGATAAGGCTCCTAAGAGGTAAGATTGTAGTGAGAACTATAGATCTGAGACTTCAAAGAGCCGTTTGCCTAGTATCAAGCAAGAAAAGAAGAAAAAATCAGCTGACCCTCGAACCCTCCATACCTCAAATACTAAGAAAGTTATGAAAGAGATTCAGAAACCTGTGGTGCAAAAAGTAGATGAAGAGGGCCATGTGATTCGGGAGCCTAAATAGATGTATTATCCTCACCAATCGAAAAGTATCCAAGTTAAAATAGAAGGACTAAAAGGCACCTGAACAAAGACCTTTCAATGTAAATTTGTATATTTCACAATATAGAAGCGAGGAGGAAAAATCTGAGAAAAATAAAAAACATTTTATGAAGAATATAAACCAAATCTCAAGTAATAAATCCCGGTCTATTGTTACAGCCAAGGTTTATCCTCAAAGGAGGAGAGGGCACGAGATTGAAAAATCCAAGAGCATCCAGATGCAGAATATAGAAAAGAATCTCCACTCCAAGAAGAACAAGATTGATCAGGAATATGATAAAATCAAGAAATATGCCAAATCTCCAAAGCCTAAGAAGGAAAAATCCAAGAAATGGATGTTTAAGACTGAGAAAAAGCTGAGTCCTCCCCTGCAAGCACCGGATGGATCGCTAGATAGCTTAACTAAGAAGATGGAAAGACTCCTTGCCCAAGTCCCTCTGGACAAAAGAGAGCAGTTTCTTGCAAATTTTGTACCAAATACTAAAAATAGCACTGAGAGTTCGAAATTTTCAACAACGAAGGATGACAGAAGAAGTTCGGAATATACCCTTTTTGTTAACTCGTCAAATGAGCAGAGCGGGAATTAGAGATATCTTGTTTAACAAATTCAATTTGCTCTAGAACTTTTGGGGTTTTGGGGTTTTGGGGTTTTGGGGTTTTGGGG